TCTGTGTGAATAATCAACCACAGCTCCACCAACCCTTTCACTTTGAATCAAGAAGCTCGTGCTGTTGCTTCTGAGTCTGTCTTGCCCGATTACGTCTATTAGCAATCTTACTGATCCATCTGTATGTCAGATACACGTGTATAGATTACCTGTCAGTTATGATGAATTCAGGCCCCCATCAAAATCCATTAGTGTGAGAGTTATTTTCAATTTCAATAAATGCTGTTGCCACCAATATAAGCACAAAAAGCAGCTTTTCCTTAGACTTCATAGATAACATCAAGCAGATGAAAGAATGTCAGATTTCTACCTCTAAAGTGGTCTGCTACCTGCCTCCCTAGCATAGGCATTCAAACTTTTACAGAGAAACGAGTTCCTCTGTGAAATCACAGACTCTTGGTGTGGTGCTATAGGATAAGCACTGGACTGCAAACCACAAGGTCAGCAGTTCAAACCCACCAGCAGTTGCTCAGAAACCCTGTACAGGGTTGCCTTGAGAGTTGGAACCGACTCAACGGCACTTAATAACATCTTGAGAGCAGCTTAAAATGGCACTTGGAAACCTGCCTGAGGGCATAATGATCCTCACAGTAAGTATTCCTTCTTGTTGTTGTTGTTTAGTGCCATCAAGTCAGTTCCAACTCATAGCAACCCCATATGGGGTTTCCGAGGAGCAACTGGTGAGCTTGAACCACCAACCTTGCAAGTCAAACCAATCTTGCAGTCCAGCACATTAACCCACAGACCAGAGTAATCTAAGCTCTTAGAACTGCAGCATCTACTTCTCTTTCTGAGGGTCCAATTCTACCTCAAACTGGCTAGCTTGAAAGCTGAGCTCATGAACACCTCTCTGTCCCTTTACCCTATCCCTTGTCTAATATTTCAGCTGAGTAAAGGATTCCCTAAGGAGTCCCGAGTTGATGCAAACAATTCATCATTCAGCTGCTAACCAAATGGGTGACGGTTTGAATCCACTCAGGGGAGCCATGGAAGAATGGCCTGGCAATCTACTTCCAAAATATCATCCATGAGATGGAGCAGCTGGGGACTCTGGACTCAGGGAGGGAGAGGGTCTGTGTACTAACAGCTGGGGGCAGGTAGGTTTGTGGGCTGTACCCTTTGATTGTTTGAATGGTTATATATTCCTGAGTGCTTCAGGAATGGAAGCAAATGCTGTTGAATGATGATGCATGGAGGAGATTGTAATCATTTCAATGAAACAAAATACAATAGGATGAAAAAGTAAAGCTGATGTTCTCCCATGTAAACTATCACTCAATTCACAATAAAAACTTAAAAAAAAAAAAGCCATCATCCACTGAAAACCCTATGGAGCACACAGTTCTACTCTGACACACACGGGACCACCGTAAGTAGGAGTTAACTTGGTGGCAACGGGTGTGTCTTTGGTCATCAATTAAGTTAATCTTTTCAGAAGCCTAGAGATCTTTACACTTTATGCCATGGGATAATGTGTCAGAATGCAAAGTCATTTGACCTGCAAAGTCGGTGGTTCAAGCTCACCAGCTGCTCCTTGGAAACCCTTTACAGGGTCGCTATGGGTCGGAATTGACTCAACAGCACTTAATAACAATCTAGTAAAATCTTGAAATGTATCTTGAATTCGTTCCTTTCTCAGTATTTGCTTATATCTTATTGGTCTTGGATGCATCATCTTCTTCCATAATGGATTATTACATCCTCACACCCACCCTTCACTCTTCCTGATGCCCACTCTCCATACAGCTAGAATGTTCCTAAACAAACTTAACCTGATTTTATCGTCCCCTTGCTTAAAACCTTCCCCAGTACACCCTTAAGTTAAAGTACAAAATCCTTAGAGTTCCTTGTTGTTGTTAAGTGCTGTTGAGTCAGTTCCGACTCATAGCAACCCTGTATAGGGTTTCCAAGGAGTGGCTGATGAGCTTGAACCTCTGACCTTGCAGTTCTAACTGACATTGCACTCCCGTGCATTAACCTGCAGTGCCCCACCAGGACTCCGCACCAGGACTAGACCCATATAATCTGACTTTAACAAGCTTCTCTAACATTTTGCACCAGTGTCTTAATGTGCTGCACTTTGTTGTTGTTGTTGTTGTTAAGTGCCATCGAGTCAGTTCCAACCCATAGCGACTCTGTACAGGGTTTCCGAGGGTGTAAATCTTTACGGGAGTAGAAAGCCTCATCTTTCTCCCACGGAGCGGCTGGTAGTTTCGAACCGCTGACCTTAAGGTTCGCAGCCCGATTCGTAACCACTACGCTACCAGAGCTAGCAAAACCCCCTCCACCTCCAGACCTTTGTCCATACAGTACTGTCTGCCTAGAATACTGTGTTCCTGGCTCTGTAGCTTACTCAGTCTTCAGATTCTGCTTAAATGTTATTCTTCAGTGTGGCCTGCCCTCTTGGTTCCCGTTCCTACCAACAAGGTTTAAAAACAATTTGCCACTGAGTTGACTCCAACTGGTGCACTTGAACTACCAACCTTGTGGTTCGCAGTTTAGTGTTGATTGATTCTACAGCACCACACCAGGTAGATTATAATCTACCTTTGTGATTATAATCACTTTATGATGATAGAATGTGTGTCACAGTATAATAATTGCGTTCCCTAGAGTTTTCAGTCACTGATTTTTAAAAAATATACCACTAGGCCTTTCTTCTCACGTATCTCTGAGTGACTCCAACCTCCCACCTTTTGGTTATCAGTTGAGCACATTAACAATTTGAGCAATCTATGGATCCAACATCCTGGGTGGAGTTAGATCCTCCCAGTATAGGCCTTTATTGCACTCTGCATCTGCCTTCATAGCATTTTCCACAATTACAATGAGCTATTTCTTCCCCAGTGGACTCCTGGTGTGGCGCTGTGGGTTAATGTACTGGATTGCAAGGTCCATTTGAACCCCAAGGTTGGTGGTTCAAACTCACCAGCTGCCCCTCAGAAACCCTATACAGGGTAGCTATGAGTCAGAACCGACTTGACAGTGCTTAACAACAACATCATTTCTTATCCAATAGTTAGGAGCCCTAGTGGCACAATTAGTAAGCATTGTACTAACCATAAAGTCAGCGCTTGAAATCCACCAGGCCATTCTGTAGTACAAAAATGAGGCTGTGTGTTCCCGAAAAGATTCTGTCTCGGAAACCTGAAGGAACAGTTCTACTCTGTCCTGCTAGGGTGTTGTGAGTCACAATCAACTTGCCAGCAGTGAGAACAAGACCCGTTCAGTTTGTCCTCCACTGTTTCCCCAAGGTCTCTTATCAGGAAGTCTGGCATATTGTAGGTGGTGGGATACTAAATAAGTGAGTGAAATCTTGTTTTCCTCCCTTTGTGATTGTTGTTCTTGTTAAATGTCATCAAGTCAGTTCCAACTAATAGCGACCCTGTATAGGGGTTTCCGAGGAGTGGCTGGTGCACTTGAACTACCAACCTTGTGGTTCGCAGTCTAGTGCTGATGAATTCTACAGCACCACACCAGGTAGATTATAATCTACCTTTGTGATTATAATCACTTTATTATTTTGTCCCATTAACCACAAGAAGGATTCCTGGTGTGGCACTGTAGGGTAAGCAGTGAACTGCAAGCTCAGTTTGAACCCAAGATCAGTGGCTCAAACCCAACAGCCACTCCTCAGAAACCCTATATACAGGGTCACTCTGAGTTGGAACCAACTTGATGGCATTTGACAACAAAAACAACAATCACAAGGAAATCCTAATGCAGAAATCAGATAATTTGTCATGACTTGCCGCTCTCGACGCCTGATGCTATTTCCTGCAGATATAGTCCAGAGACTAACTTTCTCGTGATTTAGAATTAAAGTCCTCCTGGTTCCTGGGTGGTGCTAAAATTCAAGATGCATACTTTGTTCTGCCGTTCTTTGTCCAGGAAAACTAACAATACCCACTATTCAAATCTGTTTTTCTTTCTTTTTTTTTTTTCAGCAAAATTTTCATTTAGCCAATGGATGACATTTGTTTGACTTTGGGTTTGGTCTCATCTTAGACAGTGGAGTTGGACGACTGAGTGACCATGTCTGGCCCAGACCCTTGCTCATCCTCCTTTTGAGCGCTTTCTCAGGCCACACCATATGTGTGAGAAGCATAAATGGGCAGGGATCCCCAGAGGTTCATACCTTGAGAAAAGGTCCATCCCAGGGGCCATCTCTGAGTGACCTGTAGTCTCATTTCGTTTGACAAGTGTAAGCCTGTGAGCAAATTCCAGCCATGATGTGTTGTTTTGCCCTGCAAGATGTTTTTAACCTCTTAAGTATGCTAACCTTTAAACATCAAGATTATCATGTGCAAACTTGAGCTTCTATGTCCACCTGGGGAGCAGGGAGAGATAAAAAAAAAAAAAAATCTGGCAAAAATCACCCCACAATTCAGCAACAATTGCCTGGAGCTGAACAGAGACAAGAAATAAATTTTCTTTGCCGTGTTCCTTGCTCTGCATGCTAAATTTATTTATTTTAACTTCCTGGCATTTGTAGGCATGTAAATTTGTAACAAGGAGCCCTGGTAGCATAGTTGGTTACCCATAGTGGGTTACCCATGCTATCTAAAAGGTCAGAGTTCGAATCCACAAGCTGTTCCCCAAGAGAACGATAAGGCTTTCTGCACCAGTACGGATTTTACAGCCTTGGAAACCCTATACAGGGTCGCTGTAAGTTGAAACTGGTTTAACAGCACACAGCAACCAGCAAGTTTGTCACAATTAGTGTATTTTAAAATCGTATAGCTCTGGTAGCATCGTGGTTATGAGTCAGTCTGCTTATCTCATGGTCAGCAGTTTGAAACTCCCAGTGAGTGATTCCACAGGGAAAGATGAGACTATCTGTTCCCATAAAGATTTACAGCCTCAGAAACCTTATGCAGGGATCCTATTAATCAGAACCACAACTCCACAGCACACCACCACCACCACCACCACCTATGAATATATTTGTAATTGGCGCTCTGTATAATTGTTTTTTCTCTGTCTCTCCTATTTTACAGGTCCTGGGACTGCTGGTATGGACACTTATTGCCGGAACTGAATACTTCCGCGTCCCAGCGTTTGGCTGGGTCATGTTTGTTGCTGTATTTTACTGGGTCCTCACTGTATTCTTCCTCATCATCTATATAACAATGACTTACACCAGGATTCCCCAAGTGCCCTGGACAACTGTGGTAAGGAAACCCCTAAGTGTTCTTGTCCATTTCTCACTAGACAGGATGGGATTTAGGCCTTCACTAGTCAATTTTGGATTCTTTCTGGGCCAAAAAGAGAGTGGGCCAAGCAATGGAGAGCCCAATAGAACAAATAATTACCACATTATCCAATAGCCTCTTGAGTGTGTGACACGGAGTATGAAGTGGCTTAAGTTGGAACTTCTAAAAATTTCTTTCCGGCAAAATAGTGAACAAGTTTTATGATGATCAAATCAAGGGGAGTTCAGTTCTCTTATGTGGACTCTTGTTTAACTGAAGTCAGCCTGGAAACAGGTATGTGAGGGCACCAGCCTCCATAGACCCTCCTTCCTTCAAACCCCACCTGGAGTTGTGACCTTAACCCTTTGGACTCCAGAGCTCTTTGATGTGTGATGCATGCTGTGTGCAGAGGTAGAATGAAAACTGCTTTTAGAATGAATCTGGAAGCAAGAGTAGTCTAGGGTGATTGGATTCTTGCTGAGGCTTCAGCTAACATGCTGGAGTCAGGATAAACAAAGATCACCACACAGTCTACAAGTAAACGGAGACTTCAGTGTGTAAGCACAGTAGTACCCTATGATGTGTGCTGGAGTTCCTGGGTGTTACAGATAATTAATGTGCTGGACTACTAACTAAAAGATTGGAGGCTCAAGTACACCTTTAGATTACTAGGCCTTTGTTCTTAGGGTTTTATTTCTTTAGAAAACGAGCTGCTGAAAACCCTTTGAAGCACAGTTCTATTTTGACACATGTGGAGTTAGCATGAGTGACATCAACAGCAACTCATTTGGTTCTTTTGATTATGATGTGTGCTAACGTGGGGGGATGTACAAAGTGTGATGCAGATTACCACCCTGATCCGTGAGGAACAAGTGGGGAGTCTGTAGTCAGTAGATGATGTTTAGCATCATCTTGAAAATAGAACAGGTCCTAAGTGAAATTCACAGAAAGGAGCTAAATTGAGCCCCATAATTTCACTTTCTTTCACATAGTGGACTGAGTGACTTTGACTATTTCTCCAGATCCAAAACTGAGAATTCTCTATATAGGATTCTCTAGACTCTCTAGACTGTCACAAATTCTGAAGATAATTACAAATGTTGTTGTTAAGTGCCATCGAGTCGATTCCAACCCAAAGCAACCCTGTATAGGGTTTCCAAGGAGCAGCTGGTGAGCTTGAACCACCGACCTTGCAGTTCAAACGACTTTGCAGTCTGACGCAGTAGCCCACAGTGCCAGACCAGGACTCCATTTACAAATGAGATACCCATAAATGTCTATGTTGGAATAGTGCTCTGCTTCCTTGGTAGATACTGGGGAAGAAAAGACTTATTTTGATGTTGGATTCCGTTTAAAAGTATCTTAAAAGTATTCTAATAGACTACAGGATGAGGAAATAATCCAAGAGAACTGGGGGGATTTCTGGAAGGCTGAGTCTAAAAGTAAATCTTAAAGAACACGACTATGAACTTAAGAGAAGAACCAGACAGTGTAACAGGAACAAATCACTGGGATGTAAAAATGAATAGTAGCTTTGTTTCCACATTTGCCTCAGTTTCCATTTTTAGGTACATGGTTTAGATCAAGATTGGCAGACTTACTCTGGAAAGAGCCAGATAGTAAGTATTTTTTGGCCTTACTGGCTACCTGGTCTCTTGTCACAACTGCTAAGTTCTGCCTGTAGCATGAAAACATCCATAAGCAATTCGTCCATGAATGTGCATGGCAGTTATATATGCTTAATATATAAAAGCAGATGGTGGGTTCGATTGGACATGTGGGCAATAGTTTGCTGACTTCTGGTCTCCCCATTTACCAACTTTCATCTAACATTTCACATTTATAACAATAGCAAAAAAATCTATCCAACAGTTTTACGCATCAGCAGTTTACGTTCAACAATAACAAATGCTGAGGTGCTAGGCAAGAGCTGGTTGTGATGGTTATGGTTATGTGTCAGCTTGGTTAGACCATGCTTTTCATTGGTTTGGCAGTTGTGTAACAATGTAATCGTCCTTCATTTTCACATAACTCTGATTTTCACCTAACAACCTGGTTTTTAGGACCTAACCTTGTGGGTATAAGTGAAGAGTGTGTATATGGTCTCTTTTTAATACCCTAAATTCTTTCATGGATTTATTACATTAACTTTTAAAAACAAATGGTGTTCAAAAATAACCTAGCAGCATTCCCTCTGGTACTTTTTAGTTTTCACAATGCTTTGATTTTCATGATCAGAATTTATCATCAAGGGTGTGACCCCATTTTATAAACTAGAAGACTGAGGTTTGCAGCAATATGACTTTGCATAAACTCACACCCAGCTGGAATACATGTCATTCAACAGCCATCCAGTGTTGTTTGGCTTTTTTCCTGGTTCCAACCTGCTTCTGGTACCCTAGTTGGTTACGTGTTGGTTTCCTAACTACAAGGTTACCAGTTCAAGTCTACCAGACACTCAGTTGAAGAAAGATGAGGTTTTCTGCTCCCATAAATATTTACTTTTTTTTAGTTATGTTGTGGCACTGATTGATAAGTACTAAACTGCTAACCACAAGATCAGTGGTTCAAACCCACCAGCCGCTCCTCAGAAAAACCCTGTACAGGGTCACTTAACAGACTCCATGGCACTTTACAACGACATCTGCTGGAGCAGTAAAAAGCCCATCTCAAAGTCAGGGAACCTGCACTTTTAGTCCCTTCAGAATCATTTAATCATTTATCTCCTCATGCAAGTCCTCCAAAGTCAAGGATTGCAAACACATATGTGTGAAGGGTACTGACAGGTTATGCAAATGAGTGAGCTGAGCATGCTTTTTAATTTTTACTACCCAGATATACTTTCTAAGCATATTAAATAGCATGAGAAATAGTCTTCTCTTCTTGCACACACACAAAATAAGCTGGATATATGGTTCCAAGATTGCTAGGTATTCTGTTTACTTTGTGGGTTTGATTTGCTTTGTTTTCTAAGAGAGTCCATAAATCTGGATTTTCAAATGCTAACAAACTTTCTAAAAACATTTCATTTGGTGCTGGCAAATGCTGCAGGTCAAACGAGTCTGACTTCTGGTTAGGAGTTTTATTTACTGTTCCAGCTGAAGAGCACCTTTGCAATCTCTGAAAGCATTTGTGAGTTAGATAAACGGTATTAACTGAGTGTCCAGAATCTAGTCTGGAAAATGTTTCATGTGAAACAATGGCAACCTTATCTTAAATTTGTATATTGTCTATTGCCCAGAAAGTCTTGGCTGTGCTTTGTGACAAATCTGATTTGAGCTGAAATTGTAAAGCAATAAAATTAGCCCTCTTCCTAGCAGTAAGTGCCATTGTCTACCCAAATGTATTCTTTTGGTCATCTGTAGTTCACCATCACTGACCTCTCATTGCAAGTTCTATTGAGCCTCCTTTCACTGATAATAGACGCTGGCATTTATTAAGCACCTACTGTGTGTCAGGTATTATACTAGGTCCTACATTTACATCATTTCATTCAATCTTCAGGATCACTCTGCAAAGAGTGTATATATTTCCATTTTACAGTTAAAGTACTGAGATCCAGGAATGAGAATTGATGTATTTGAGTTATGATATTGGAGGAGAATATTGAAAGTACCATGGACTTCCAAAAGTACAGCAGAATATTCTCGTACAGCAGCATTAGGAAACAAAGGAACAGGTAACCTGTTGGAAGAAGTACAGCAGAATATTCCTTGGAAGCCAAAATAGCCAGACTTCATTTCTCATACTTAAGATATATTGTCAGGAGGCACCAGTCACTGGAGAAGGATGTCATGTTTTCTAAAGTAGAGGGTTGAAGAAAAAGAGGAAAAACCCCAACAAGATGGATTGGCACAGTTCCAACAGTGATAGGCTCAGGCATAGCAACGGTTGTGAGATTGGCCCAGGACTGGGTAGTGTTTTGTTCTGTTGTGCATAGGGTCGCTAAGAATCAGTACTGACTCACTGTCACCAACAACAGCAATGCTAAGCACAGCTGTCAAACCCTGGGTACTCAAATACTCATTTCTCTTGATCTTGAAAGTGACTGTTTTCATTGTGCCATATTGAATAGAAGTGCTAGCCATAGCAGAATGTTATGCCTCACTGGTCTTTTTTAGCAGCTCTGTGGTGCCACAGGATAAGCACTCGACCTCAAGGTCTGTTTGAAACACAAGGTCACTGTTCAAACACACCAGCCGCTCCTCGGAAATCCTATGCAGGATCACTGACTGGGAACCTATTTGAAGGCACTTAACAGCAACCAAAGAGTCCTTATCTTTCCCAATCTTTTCATAAAACCCTTCCACAAAAGATGGTGCTAGACAGAGGCCCAAACCGACAGCCCGAGGCCCAACCCTCCTACAGCCCAGTCACTGATGCCCAGACCTCCAGAGGCCCAAACGGCCCGCCGCAGAGGCCCAGGCCCAACTGAGGCTCAAAAAAGTTACTCTGAGTTAAGCAATAAGAAGCATAAAAAGGGAAGACCACATCCTGATCACATATTC